TTTGTGGAAAATTACGGCCGTTCCAATTTTCAACAAAAAATTAGATGCATTTTTTAAATTTATTGTCGGTGATTTCCTCTTGCTTTCAGCGGACTTTACATTTTTTTCAGTATTGGACAAGACGGAGGTGGCAGCATGTCGGAAAACCGGAGAAATTACGGTTTGCCCGGCTCATTCGCCTCTGTCAAGTTCTAAAATGAACTCATGCGAATTCTCGTTATTTTCATCATCAAATGTAGAATACTGTGAAAAGCAGATTATTGTTGGGCCAAAAGACTTTTTCTTGCGGTCAGGAGACTCTTGGATTTTTTCTGTGAGAAATAAGACAAAGGTTAATATTCAATGCGGTAGCGTGCATGAGTTTAAGGAATTGACAGGCTCCGGGGTGCTACGAAATCTAAAGCACTGTGACATCAGTACAGATCAGCAGCTGATGCTCGGCGGGGCGGAGATGGCCACGGAAATGGAGGGGGAGTGGGAAGACACGGTCAGGCCGAGTTTGGAAGGGACGGAGTTACTCACAGGCAGAGAGAAGGAGATTCTGGAGCGAGATGGGGAAGAGAGCGAGCTTCAGGAGAGTGTCCGGAAGTATGCTAGCAAGGCTCAAGGGCAGTTACAGCTGAACGCTGCTTTGGACAACCTCTTGGAAGAACGTAAACGAAAGACGTGGTTGTGTCCACAAGTACATTTATACGGCCTATCTTTTCTGGTGACACTAATGCTCATCGGGGGGATATTCTTTGGAATAAAAATGTTACGCGCTACAATACTCCCACGGGGTAGTGTGGCGCGTCCCATATCAGGTGTTTAAAAGAAAAATAATAATAATATTAATAAGTGAAAATTTTGAAGACACCCCCTCCCCCCCAAGAGAGGAGTCCGAGAGTTTGTTCGGAATTGGTTTTTCTTCAGTTTTTTACCATCTAAAAAACTGGACAGTTTTTACCGTCTGTTTTGTCTGTTACAAAATTTTCGGTGGTGGATGGCGTCGAGTGAATCGATCCCCCTCACCCTTTTATGGGGTGGTTAGATGTGGCAAATATTTTAGAGTATAGCAGGATTAATTTCACCAGTTGGGAAAAATTGTTCAGCTCTCGATTTTTAGTTGCTTTTAGTCAACATCCGCTGGGTTCAAAGAGATCGTTTGATTACATAATTTTCATAATTTAAAGTTTTTTCTTTTTGCTTGTTAAATAGTTTTTTTGCCTATCCCGCGGGTTCATGTTTTTTTGTTGTAATTCTTATTATTTGCCGGCTTCGGAGAGGAAATTAGATCGAGGTTATAATGTTGAAATAAAATTATTCCACCCTCGCCCTTTAATAGTTTACTGAAGTTTAATGCTCACAAAATTAAATAGTATTATTAAATATAAGTATATTATTATTAAATATATTGTTTTTTCTTTGTACATTTAATTTTGTCACTTTCTCTTTTTGATTTTTTTTTTATGTAGTAATTTTTTTAATTTATCTAGAACTTTTTTTTTGGCAGCACTGAGTCTGATTTTGTTTTCACGTTAATGTTTTTTTTTCCTTAAAAGATTAGACTTAATTAAGAAAGGAAACATATAAAAATAATATTAATAATAATAAAAGGAATAAGAGAAAGAATGGAAAAGAAGAGAGAAGATTTATTAATTTTAATTCATTTATTGTTTTTTTTCTAATTAATATGGGTTTTATTTTGTTCCATGTGCCCGGGCGGTTTTTGTTCCAACGGCTTAATCATCCCTTGGACGCGGCGTTGAGGTAGCAGCATTCGGGGGAGTCTCAAAGGAGGCAGTACGATCTACAACCGTCGGCACCCAGGTCAGCGAGTTTTCAGGGCGCCTGCGCCTCATGATGTAGTTTTCACGTCGCTACGACTACGAGCACTGACGGCTTGCCCCGACCATCTGGCACCGTGCACCCTGACATAAAGTTACCTTGCGGACGGCTCATCACGGCTCGCACAACATCACGCTATGTCGCGCAACTTGTAGCAGTCTGGCGCCATCTACTGGTCAACGCGTCTGCCTATGGGAATCTAACTTTTGGCACCGCTGGGGCAGGGGAGCGTAGCTCGAATGGATCGCTACTCGCTTGGCTCTTCGCATGGCACCACCAGCGGAACTCATGGCAAAACGTTTGGCTGCAGGGTACCACGCACTTGGTTCTTCGCATTCGCGTGGCACCACCAGGGTTCCTTTGCAGGACATCGCTACGGGATGGCTCGAGGGAGGCATCAACAATTTGGGCACTGTGGACGGAGATCGGTACAACTTCTGGAGGGACTCTCGGACGATGCAAGCAGGCGGCTACGCGAGGAGGGACGACTGGATGATTATTCCCGAGGAACAGGAATCGTTCATAGCAGCATATCAAAAGTTTTTTTTTAGGATTGTTTTTGTAAATTTGAAATTTTTTGTTTTTTTTTGTTTGTAATTTGTTACGAAATTGTACTATAGTGTAATTAATACGGATAGCACCGTGCGAGTGGCCTTNTTATTTAATGGCAAAACTTCAATTTCTTCCCTCATAAAATTGCGAAATATAGTAATAACGCAACCCCTCCACCCATGCAGGTGATGTTTCTTTAGGATCACAGAGGAACGCGTTTTCGCGGGGCAAAGCCACGAAGTTGATGCTAATTAATATTTCTGTCATAATTACTTAAAATATAACCACGAGTATCAATAGCATCAGTTGGGTAGGTGGGCGCATATGAAGGGGCGCGATCTGCAACCCTCTGACTTAAAATTGCTGAGGCAAAAGGGTTTACGCCGCTCTTGGTAATTAATTTTCAAGGCTTCTTGGAGGTTTTGAACCTCTTACAACGCACCAGTTTAAAGCGTCCGTAAATAAGACAAACGAAAGCAGGTCATATGTTGTAGCAACTCGCTTATTGTAACGTATCTGAGGGGATCGGCAAAGAATTCAGTAATTGCTTTTAAGTATGTTAGGTGGCCTCAGGCCTCACAAGTTATTACCCAGGTACCCTTGATGCGGAGAAGGAATGCGCTTTAGATCTTAATTACTGTAATTCGATTTTATGTCGTAGGAATTTTGCGAGCTCATGGTGCCAATTTACAGAACTGAGCTTACCTATCTTAGGGTTTGGAAAGTCTTAATGTTTGTGAGCCTGCTTGCTCGTTCCTTTAAAAAATTAACCTATACCAATAGGAGCCGTGAAAATTAGTGAGGTTCGTTTTTGTAGGATCTAAATAAAACTGATAAAGTTTAAAGGTCTGTTCTAAATCGTAGGGAAGCAAGTAGCGTTATATTTACTGATTTTGGATTTCCGAAAAACGGAAAACAATTATTAAAATGTGCGAGTTTCGAAAACTTACTTTTAGACTTTAACCAAGGTATTGTGGATGAATGATAACTAAAAAATCGTAATTACATATAACATGTGGTATCCCTAATTTGAGTGTTATTTTACTATTTTAACTGTCCTAGACTAAAATGACAGCGAGGGCTAGGATCGGTAGTTTGATGTCGTGGCCATAAATGACCTTTCGTTTTGGTGAAAAGTGAACTGCCTTCAGTTTGGAGAATATGCAATTCGTAAATATGCGGGCCTCTGAGTGCTAATCCGGCCCTGTCTGATTATAATATTAAAATGATCAAGAAATCTAGGCTCCCTAAAGATTCAAAGAACAAGAAACTAATTTTGCCTTTTCGAAACTATTGCGTCAGTTTTTACCGTTGGATAAATGTTGAAGGAAAATAAGACAAGGCGACTTTTTCTGCCATCTTTATGAACGTTTATTTTGAACAAACAATCGAAGTCATCACATTCGAACCAACTCTTCTTCATTTTCGACATTGTAGAACGATTTACTTTTACGAACGGATGCAAGTACAACATACAGGAAGCTGCAAATCGACAAAATAAGGATTATGCCGATGAAAGTCACCACGAAAATCTTGCTCGTCACTAAGTACTCAAAAGCTGCTCCGTAACTTCGGAACATCATTGTACACTGTTGTTCCTTTTCTCTCGGTTTGACTATGCGGCCAAGTGTTGAGTGCCTGACACTAACGGTGAACTCTTTGTTCAGCGTGAACATTCTAATGTTACACACCGTGGCACTTTCCTTCATAACGAGCTCCGTGGGCTCTGACGAGCAGATTACCGTGTTCCTCTGGAAACTGCAGTTCGACCGAAAAGGAACGAATCCAGGCGTCTCCACGTTAGAGGCATTGAAAACTATAGACGCGCTGTCGCCACAATCCATGCAGCCGTAACTACCGAAATACTCAACGTTGCACTTGCCTCGTTTCTGCTCTAAACGTCCACCCCAGCTCCCCAACTGGATGGTCGCAGAGCTGCTCTTGTGTGTTTCGAGAACCTCGACCACGGAAGGACTCGTGTTCTTGATGACGGCACGTGGCTGTTCGAACTCATTCTTGCGTCTCAAGAAGGCACCGATCATGCTCGGCTGAGGCACACTGCAGTTACGATAGCAGCTTTCCAAATACTCACAATCGCCCAGGGCACTCAAGTCAAAATGCTTCTCCTCATTCGTGTTCAGGGCGATCTGAATGTCACCGAAGAAACCCTCCTTCGGTTCATCGAACTGCGAACTGTTGGCGTAGTACAGTTCGGCGTTATGTCGTAGCAGAGATTGCAAGGGCATTGCCTCTGACGATACGTTATGTACAGTGATCGAAATTATGTCGTTGCTTCGAATATTGAAATTCGACAAATCTAGATCGTAAACGGATTCCCCTACGATGAATTTTGTCTCGCGCGAGCTGCTGGACTCTCTGGCGGTAAATTTAATCCAGCCTTTTTGCTCTGTTTTATGTAGCACTTCGTACAAAGACCCGCTTTTGGTCACCTGCTTGAACATACCACAACTCACAGTTCCGTTTAGGAATTCATTCCAGAAACATTCAAAGTGGTTTGCGCTGACTGAGTGAGCAGCCTGTAGTTTTGCATCCGCTTGAACGTTGCAATCATGCTCGCAATTCTCGTGATCTTCACAACATTCGCATGCATGGAAAAAAGTAACATTATAATCTGATGTGTAGTAAACCAGCTCGTATTTTGTCACCCAAACAAAATCAGAGACCACCAAAGACACTCGCTTCCCATGATCATCTTCTATACAGATTTCGGAGCCTTTATTCACAACGAAGGGTGACGAGTCAGGAGAGCAATGGGAATCGTGGCATAGCATGGTTATGTGGTTCGAATCCACCGTTACCACTATGTCGCAGGCTTCTCGATAGCCCATCAATAAAAATCCAACCGCCATCACTAGTGTTCCGAAAGCCATGGGACTATGGGACCGAATTCTACCGACCTCTCTTATTGTCTTGGAGTCCGAGCAGCGCTGGACTCGACTGGCGATCTTTTTTAGGGCACTTCAAACAATATGAGATTCCGTTTGAAGATGCTTAACTCCGATGATCAACGAACTTCTTCCGCGCATTTTGACCAAAAAAACGTTCAAGCATCTTACCATCGGCTGAATTAGTTTCGGCTACGCGCCAAAATCGATACGTAGTTGAGTTTGATCATTTGATTTGGGTGAAAGATGCAAGTCCTCGAGTGCCTACAAAACAAAAGAAATTTTAGAAGAAACGAAACTGCGGAACATTAAAAAAAGAGGTTGCATTGTAATCAGATGTAATAAGGACGAATGCTGATTCCCGCACCCCCAAGCCCCAAAAAATAAATAGCACAGTTCAAATTTACAGAGTATCGGTATTTAAATGTTCGATGCGATTATTTTGCCTGTCATGCCTGTCATCGTAAAAATGTGAAGAAGAACCTTCGGAGAATATAGCCATGAATAAATAATAATAATTTGCAAAATGAATTTTCGTTTCTTTAGTATCTATTAATTTTAGAATTGCCACTTTACAGGAACATTATCAATCAGAGAGTTTTTCATGAAACAAGCCTGAAATTAACTCTGTGGATCGCAATTTGCATAGAAAATTTGGAAATTTTAATCTCATAGTTTGTAAAGACTCAATGTATTGTAGAATTGTAATTTGACACGCATATGAGTAGAGTCTAGAGTGGTTAGAATATACCATACTTTGGTAGTCCCGCGTAAAACCCAAAATTACGAACACCAGATGACGTCAATACTCTAATAAAATGGGCAAACTGACAAAAACAAACATCTACAATCAGGGCCGGATTAAGGGGGTGGCTACATGGGCCGCGGCCCATGGCGGCAAATCGAAAGGGCGGCAAATTTTGCAATTTTTTTAAATGTAGGTATAAAAAAATGTCGGAATTAGAAAAAAAAAATTACAAACAAGAAAAGGCAACAAAATCTCTCATTTTCTGAGAGAAAAGTAATTTTTAATTTTGTCGTCTTTCAGTGATAAAAGAGACAGCACCTTTAGTTAGTCGAGTTAAGAAAGAAACCAAACACGCAATTTGGACTGGAACGGCGCGACTTACAGAGAAATGATGACGAGGACTTGAGATGAAAAGGAGAATCTCTCGGCGTGGCGATCGGCATGTAATACATATTAGCGCCTACAAGACTGCACGAATACTTCACGCATTGCATCAAACACAGTGCGGTCAGCGCAAAACACATGGCGCCTACGAGACTGCGTGAATACTTCACGCATTGCGCCAAACACGGTGCGTTCTGCGCGGCGCCGGCGCGGCGGCGGAAGTTAAAATCATTAAACCACACTCATGTTTGTTCTTTCATAATTTTTTTGTTCATTTCTTATGAATGAAAGGCCTTGTCCACACAGAGATAGGTTTACGAAACTTAACTTTTGCTAGTAGCGTTGACAGGGCATTCCCAAAACATGTGTTCAACACGAGTAAACGCGTCTTATGCACCCCTCCCCCGCTGGCACGTTCACTTGATGGTTTTTATTGATGTTTCAATACGAATGAGAAGGAGGCGGCAAAATAAAGGCGGCCCATGGGCGGCAAGTAGGTAAATCCGGCCCTGTCTACAATTAATTCTTTTAGTTTTAAAATCACAGTCGAAGCACGGTAAGAAGAAAGACGATGTCTCCTCTGTTTTTCAAATGAAAAACCATACGTTACATGATTGCGGCTATTTTGAGTTCTACGCGGCGTTATCAAACCGAGGCGACGATGTACCTAAATATTAATAACATCTTCATGTGGCGGAAAACTCAAAGATACGCAAATTTTATACACTATAGCTATTATGTGAGGTAAGGTGGAAAGAGCTTGATGCAAAAACGGCTTTTTTCGCCCCCCTTCTGGAAGTTCTTCAGACTTTGTCTATTGATTACTCATACTTGAGCGCTTCTTTTCCCAAATTTTCAGACCCCCAAAAAATTTTGGGGGGGAGCTAGGGGGGGTGGAAGTCAAAACCTGTGAACCTCGATATCTCTTGAGCAAAGAAAGATATCGAGGTCCGGTTTGGACGAAAAATCGTCTAAAATTGCAAACTTTAAGATTCTAAAGGTCGAAATCCCGATGTCACATTTTTAAGTCAACATATGTGCTTTTTTCCAGTTTTTAGGTCTAGAAAATTTCTTTTGAACGAAAAATTTACAAAGATCTCAATTTTTTATTTGAACTAAAACCAGTTTTTTAAATTGTTCGTCTTTTTCCGCATCCAACGAGTGGTCCACTAAGCTGGAGAACCAAACGGTTCCGGAGTTATGATCGATTGAAGTTTCCGCTCAACGCGCGCCGACCGATTTTCGCGAGCAAAAAAGTCGGATTTGACTGTTATTAGATCAGATTGAATGTTCAAACTGAGCAAAATGCTTTATTAGGGACTCTTGAGGGTCGCTGAGTTCAGAAATTACCGATACTTCCAAATAATTTACGTTTTTAAAATTACAGCTCCGCAGCGCTATTTTAGAGGCCCACTGAGCGCCGACCGGCCGCTCAGTGGTCCTGTCTGAAGCTGCAATTTTAAAAACGTGAATTTTTTGGAAGTATCGGTAATTTCTGAACGCAGCGACCCTCAAGAGTCCCTAATAAAGCATTTTGCTCAGTTTGAACATTCAATCTGATCTAATAACAGTCAAATCCGACTTTTTTGCGCGCGAAAATCGGTCGGCGCGCGTTGAGCGGAAACTTCAATCGATCATAACTCCGGAACCGTTTGGTTCCCCAGCTTAGTGGACCACTCGTTGGATGCGGAAAAAGACGAACAATTTAAAAAACTGGTTTTAGTTCAAATAAAAAATTGAGATCTTTGTAAATTTTTCGTTCAAAAGAAATTTTCTAGACCTAAAAACTGGAAAAAAGCACATATGTTGACTTAAAAATGTGACATCGGGATTTCGACCTTTAGAATCTTAAAGTTTGCAATTTTCGACGATTTTTCGTCCAAACCGGACCTCGATATCTTTCTTTGTTCAAGAGATATCGAGGTTCACAGGTTTTGACTTCCACCCCCCCTAGCTCCCCCCCAAAATTTTTTGGGGGTCTGAAAATTTGGGAAAAGAAGCGCTCAAGTATGAGTAATCAATAGACAAAGTCTGAAGAACTTCCAGAGGGGGGGCGAAAAAAGCCGTTTTTGCATCAAGCTCTTTCAGACTTCACGAGTGGTATTATTATAATCTTTAAGCGGGTTTTCAGACTTTACCGGTGTTTTTATCAAAATCTTTAAATTGTTTTCACCATGAATACAACTCTCTTTCATAGCTCCATTATACACGCATATGATGATACGGTTCGTTGCCTGAGCATAACTAATCAAAAATCCAAGCTCCCACTCTCTGATTCATTCTTCAATAAACTTGTTCCAAGACTTTTTGACGTTTTCTCCATTCTGGATTACAACTCTCTCTGTCAAGTAAGAGGTCGGGATTATCCATTCTGCGGGCCGATTATTAAAATTTTGTGCTTATTGAGCGGATATAGGTTGAACGGTGGATCGTGATTGGTCGGCTATGTCTTATCGCTGCCTTGTCGTGCCTTTGTCGGGTGGAATTCACGACAAGCTAAAGGCACCTCTTGAGTTCCCGACAGTATGGCGTCTATTCCACCTGACAAAGGCACGACAAAGCAGCGATAAGACATAGCCGACCAATAACGCTCCGCCGTTTAAGCTGTGTCCGCCAGACAACAATAATCGGTCCGCAGGGTGAGTTGACAATAAGTTGACGTACCTGAATTTCAAAAATATTTACTAATAAAAGTTATGTACGATTTTCACAAAATTAGTGTTGAATCCGATAGGTTGTGGAGTCTGGTTCGAATGAACACAAATCAGGGAAAATCAACTCATTAATTTAAACTTTGAAACGAACTTCGAGATGTTTAGCGTTGAGCACACGAGACAAATGAGACACGTCATGACAACAACTGAGCGAGATGATCTCCGAAGGCCGTGTGGCAGGAAACGCGATATCGCCCCAGGAATTTTGATAGTCGTGTTTATCGATAAACATGTTATGTTTAAGGATATTTTATTGTTCTCCCTCAGATTACTGAATGTAAATGCAGTGATCGGAAGGATGCAGCAGTATTTGTGCATCGTAGGATTAAAATGTTCCAGGCATACCCTGTTTTTATAGGTTTTCCCTGCGGAACAAAATTTTTGAATCAAAACTCGCAGAATGCATTGACTGTGCACGTTACTTTATCAGCCTGATTTTGAAAGAGGAAAATTCTTCCATTTAATTTCCGACCGGGGAGGTTTGAACTCCTTGACTGACCCTACTAGGAATTGGTAAATTCTCTGACGGCAGAGGTTTTCGAAATTTAAACTCCTAGACGAATTAAATTATTTTCAATAATACACCCCTAGTCGGTCGTTGGGTTGTGCTGCCAATTATCAATAAAATTTACAAGATTATCATGATAAATTTGTAGAAAGTGAAGAAATATTTGGACTCCTTGCCGGAAACATACATAGACCCTAACCGACCCGACTCCCGCTATTCCTCTTTTCTTGGGCAAGCAGCAGTATTTTTGAAGATAGGTACAAATCCAGCGCATGTGAATCATTCCACTGGCGGCGGAGTTCACTCGCTCAGCCGTTACCATTCCAAACGCGATAAAAGTAATCAAGTTTTAAAATACTAATAAATTGAAATATATGCAAACATGGTGCAGTGCAAAAGCAAGGCAAGGCACACTGGTGAAAAAAAACCTCTTGGACCAATGCCGCATCGCATTGACTTAAGAGAGCAGTTTCTTGTCGCCGGATTTAAGAGTCTTAAACTCTTGTTTCAAGTGGATTTTGCATTGATTCAAGCGGATTTTGCATTGAAACAAGAGTCCAGATTCTTAAATCCGGCGACAAGAAACTGCACTCTTGAACCAAGAGGTTTTTTTTACCAGTGCAAGGAAAAAACGTACCCTTAAAAATATGCAAAAATGAAGGTAGATGATTACGCCTATTAGTTAGTCTATTACCTACTTATCTTGTCGATTGAACCCACCTATTTCCACTAGTAGGATCGCTCCAATCTCCATTTGTCTTCTTCGTCTATAGCTTTGTCTATCAATATCAATGATCAGCCTGCTGAAACGAGTGGAGTGAGCTTTGCCGATTTGAGGAGGTCGTCACTATTATTCTCGTCCAAGATGCTTCTCGTCAAGTTCAGAATATCAGAGTTGTAAATTCATAATTTAGTGGTTGATACGTCCGTGCCCTCCAATGGCGAGTTTGTTTCAGTTTGCGAGGAGTTCATCTCAGCCTCCCCCTCGTCTCCTCATCCTGCCACCCCCCCCTCCCTCAAGCTTTGTTCCGTTCAGTTGACTCCCAGAATTAATTAAATCACGATAAGTGAGGGAATTCAGAGAGATGGAAGATCACGGGGGAGGTTTGCGATTGCATCCGCTCTCCACTTTTCACCCAAGTAGAACTTCTTCTGTAAATTTTTACATATAACCGGGACCCAACGAGGCGCTGAGACTCAAAAAGACTAGATGACGTCATGATCAGCGAATTTTGATTGAAACTGAATTTTTGTGAGAAATTCACATTACATTTGAACCTAACACGCTAATTGGATTACATTTTGCAAAAGGGAACCACTATCTCTGGCTCTCTCATAGAAGCACATATCTGCATAGAGAAACCAATGGCATGCATGTTGTTTCTAAAATGGGCCAGTAATAGTGGTTCTTTATTGCAAAATGTAACCCAATTCGTCGTCTCCGAGGAGAGGGAACGTAACTTCATTCCAAGGTGGCAAAATCGACTCAAACAATTGAATGTTTCACATGTGTGAACCTGTGCAATTTTTGTTCACAATTTTTATGATAGTTTTATGAAAAATCTGTGAAATTCCCTGTCAGAAATGTACGAGACTGGTGAGAATGCAATTTGCGAGGGGAAATTTGCCACTATTGAGATGCAGGTTAATGACTTTGCTTATGGTAGAGCTTACATTTTCTCTCTCGGGAAAAGCTATCCTCAGAAGTTAAGGTATATCTTCAACAGTAGCTGCTAAAAAATCCAGCTCGTCTCGTAGCTGAAATCTGATTCCGAGATAGGCGCTTATTTTAGTATTATGATAGGTATAATTATTACTGAAATTGAATACTTTTAGCGGCAAGCAGTAGCATAGGGCAGGATTTACCTACTTGCCGCCCCTGGGCCGCCTGTATTTTACCGCCCCCTTCTCATTCGTTTTGAAACATCAATAAAAACCATCAAGTGAACGTGCCAGCGGGGGAAGGATGCAGAAGACGCGTTCATTTGTGTTGGACACATTTTTTGGGAAAGCCCTGTCAACACCACTAGCAAAAGTTCACGGAACTTTGCGCAAAAGGTAAGTTCCGTAAACCTATCTCTGTGTGGACAAGGCCTTCCATACATTAGAAATGAGCGAAAAAATTATGAAAGAACAAACATAAATGTAGTTTAATGATTTTAACTTCCGCCGCCACGCCGCGCAGACTGCACTGTGTTTGGCGCAATGCGTGAAGTATTCCGACAGTCTTGTAGGCGCTAAGCGTTTCACGCTGAACGCACTGTCTTTGGCGCAATGCGTGAAGTATCCATGCATCCTTGTAGGCGCTATGCGTTTCACGCTGACTGCAGTGACCGCACTGTGTTTTATGCAATGCGTGAAGTATTCGTGCAGTCTTGTAGGCGCTAATATGTGTTACATGCCGACCGCCGCGCCGAGAGATTCTCCTTTTCATCTCAAGTCCTCGTCATCATTTCTCTGTAAGTCGGCGCGACGACGCGTTCCAGTCCAAATTGCGTGTTTGGTTTCTTTCTTAACTCGACTAACTAAAGGTGCTGTCTCTTGTATCACTGAAAGACGACAAAATTAGAAATTACTATACTCTCGGGAAATGAGAGATTTTGTTGCCTTTTCTCGTTTGTAATTTTTTTTATACCAACATTTAAGAAAATTGCAAAACATGCCGCCCCCTAGATTTGCCGCCATGGGCCGCGGCCCATGTGGCCATCCCCTTAATCCGGCCCTGAGCAGTATATCTATAGCATGTGCAAAGTCAAAAACAAGCTCTATTAGTTCTATATATTAAAGGCTTGCAATTATTAACATTAAAGCGCAGTGACATAAATATTTAAGAGAGCGTTAATTCCAGCTCTTTTGATCTTATTTGGAAGAAGAAACTACTAGCTACAAATATTTTAGTGCATCATGGATTTTTCTGGAAAGAAATGAAATCAAACATGATCAAAATTCAAAACACAGCGGCGGTGCCCATGATGCGGGGATGCGTTTCTCGCCAAGGTTTGCCTAAGATTCACTTCAATAACGCTATTTTTTGAAGTCGAAAATCAACATTATGTCAAACAGAATTCGGTTTCAGAAGACAGCCCGAATCATTAACAGTGGCGTGGCGTGAATTGCGATGTATCGATTGCTATGCCATTTAAACCTATGGTATAAAATCGATTATTAAGGTGTTCGCTGCGGACACCGTGTTTATCGATCCTTTTCCATAGGTATAAATGGCATAACAATCGATACATCGCAAAGCACGCCACGCCTCTGATCATTAAAACGCGAATTCGATTTTTTTTCAGTGAACAGCTTGCTGCCTGCTCTTTAATACGTGCATTTACGACTAATTTCACGAAGACGTTCAAAGCCGCCATAATCCCGAGGTCACATTGTAATTTCTTGATTGCGGGAAGGCTTACATCAAAAGCTAGGAGTTAAATTACTTACGGGACCTTTCCCGGGGGTGGAAGTTGCCCTCTCGGTAGGTTCGATCAAGCAGAAGTCGGGACAATCTTCACCTCGCGCTTGATATCATCCCGAGAAGATCGTTAAACTGCAATTTAAGATAAACGGAGGGAGGAGGGGAGGGGGTTGGGAAGCGAAAAGGAAGGGTGAAAGATCAAGCGAAGCATGGCCTTGCATGTACCCCCGTTTCATTTTTGAGGGGTGTTGCCACAGTTTGTATGCACTTCTCAGGGGTTTCGAAACGTTTGTCGTTAATCGTCCTTAGCGATGTTGATAATAAAGCAGTGCTTAAAAAAATGTTTCCCGGTAAGCTATTTTACCCTCTTGCTATGTTGTTTACTACGATACTTTTATTAGGCCTAATCGAGGAGCATTTTCTCAACAAATTCTACACAATCCCCCCCCCCCCCCCCCCCCCC